CAGAGATACTGCTTTTGGCAAGATGCCTTTCCTCTGCAGGAACAGTCATAAGGGTTGTTCCAGCCAAGGAAAGAGCATCCAGTCTCAAAGTAATTGGCTGCTTTCCTGGAATTGCCAAAGGAGTCAGCTGAGCTTCCAGTACATTTTGCTAGAAGTGAAATCGGGATCTGTAACATTTTAGTGTGGTAAAGTTGGGGTCCCTGGGAATTTATTACATTCATGTTGATATGTAATACTTATTAACTCTTGGAAGATAGCATGCTTCTACTTTCTTTTTCAGCAGTGGTATTCCATTTGCTAAGAGACACTGCTTTACTTCTGCTTTCTTTGGCCAGGTATGCATCTCTGTGGAAAGGATGCCTGACACTTTACACAGGACGAGGAGGCGAGCTGCATAAAATTGGGGAGTAAGTATTGCATGTTTATACTTGCAGTGTTGTTGTCCTGGTCCCAGCAGAGTGTCATGGTAAGTATAAGATGTGGTGGCTCTTAGTAAATGGGAGCAAAAGCCTGTTGATTGGTCATGGATAGGTGCAGTACAGGCAACCACAGTGTGAGTTTTTACATGCTGTTGCGGTAATGAGCTCTAACCATCTCTGGATTCTAAGTATATTGAGGAAAATTGTCCTCCATCATGTCACAGGTCTGGGTTTTACCTAGAGGGTGGGAACTGCATAAATGACAAGGGACTTAATCTGTGTTGCTTACCTAAGCCTCAGTTTGAATAACCACTTTATTTTGGTGGAAGCTGTGTGTGTGTGTATCATGCTCTACAGACAAGCAGTGCAAAGAAGGAAGACAAAGGTAACTAGAGTGAATCATACCTAAACAGAAGCAAGCCTCATTAAACCTTCTTTAAACTGCCCACAGACTGAGGCGGCGACTCCTCCTGACTAAGAACAAACATGAGTAACATACTTGACAAGCAACAGGAAAACCAGCAACATTTTCTAACCAGAAGAGTACTTCCGCTGTTGCACGAAGTGCCGTGGGAGGCTTTGTAGTCGTCAGGGAAGTGGGGCCATGGGGTGGCCACCTCTCTTCTTGGGTGGTTCAAAAATGCCTAGTGCTCAGCTGGATTTTGTGAGGAATGACCTGCAGATTTTCTTTGGTGCCAAGCCATTGCCTAAGGAGTGTCATCCAGTGGGCTTACTCTCCAGCAGGCTGGGGTGAGGTGAGTCCTCATCTGAGTTATTCCTCCCAGCAGGAGGTGGGAGCTCTGCTTTTGCTTAACCACTCCCAGCTGTGTAATGAACCAAATTTCTCTTCCCCTCTGCCATAATTTCCATGTGGTGAGTTGGTGGGCCTATTCCTCCATAGTTCCCTTGAGTGGAAAAGGATGCTTTGAATTTCATTCCCTGTTTTGGACTCCTCTGTGGTATTATGTTAATGGGGCACTCCATAACATGGAAGGGTGTGTGGGAATGTTAAATTTTCCCTAGACATCTAATGCAGTCCCAGGCTGGGAGCAGGCTGGGTGACTGTGCCTTGGGCGACCTTGTGAGTGTGCTCTGGACAAGATTGCGTAGCTGGAAGAGAGGCAAAGGAAGCCTTTTCATCACCTTTTGTTTTCTTTAGGTCATTTTACTTCCTAGAGTATATGTGGACTTGCCTCTACTTGACTGAAACACCCTCACCAGGAAGATGCGACAGCTTTACCACAAGCCTATAAAGGGACCAAAGAGCCCTTTAATACCTATGGCTCTTTTAATACCTATATAGTGGGGTCTGGATTAGTTACTTCTAGGTGATGGGATATGTCAAGAACATATGCTCTTTGAGTTGTGGAGTTGAGAACTCTGTTAAAAAATGGCTTTAGAATTTCCTCATAATGTTAATTTCTCCCCAGGTTCTGCATGGTATACTCAGAAGTGCCAAACTTCAGTGAGCCAAACTCAGAACACATCGGGCAGAACAAACTGGTATGTTGAACTTGTCTGAGGCTTCTGGCATAAAGCACTCTTTGTTCTGAATACTTCACACTAGGCTGTGATCAGACACGACTTCTGGAAAAATGGACTTGACGCAATATGTAGATAAAAATGAGCCAATAGGATGAGTAGCAGATAAAATCCATGTGGAGCCACTATAAGAACACAGGAAAAAAAAACAGCCCCTTTCTGTAAAAATGTGAAATTTCTCTCTCTGATCAATGTCTTCTTTTTGTCTTTTTTTACATTTCTCTGAAGGCACAGGGTGAACAGAATAATAGTTCTGCATCAAGTAATATGGGTTCTTGTACTTTTGGGCCACTGGGTAAGTTTTTTCATTTTGTGGAAGTGAAAGGATGAGAAACACTTAATGGGAATAGAAAGAAATTTATCTTGTTAAGGGTTCTCTACTCTAGGGTGAAAGTGTGCTATGCTCTAAAAAGTCTTTCAGACTGGGGCCTGAACCTGCAAGCACATAAGCCTGAACATTTCCTGAATAATGGTTTCAGGATTTGTTCCCTAGAAGAGGAAGACATCAGAATATTCAAGATGCCTATATCGTGTAAAGAGACTTGACTAATTCTAAATTGTTTTGATGCTTTAAAAGAGTTTTTGCAGCACTTGAAATTCTGTTTTTTAAACTGCCTGAGACCTTGGCTATAGAAATGACTTACTTTAATCTTGCCAGTCAGCACAGCTTTCCTGCCAGTTTAGCTCCCCAAAATAGAAGTGGTGGTAATCTGAATTCCAATATATGGCTGGATCATTTTGTGATGTATTTAAACATTGAAGCTTGAATAAGAAAATGCTTCAAGGACTTGAGTGGGTGTAAGCTGAGAGGGAACCTTAGTTATGGCCTGCCTACATGATGCCCAGACTCAGTACCTGTTGTATAGCTAAGCCCTACTGGTGGATGACAACAAACTGATTGCATAACTTGGTGTTAAAAAGCTGTGTCACTTCAATTCAGTGACTGACTGCTTCCTCTTTAGCAATATGATTTTTCATTTCTCTTACTTCTTACAAGCCCTTTCTGTTCCCTTGAAAATAAATTATTCTGAGCAAAGGAGGGCAGTGCTTTCAGGCCAGCCTTTCCTCAGTGCCAGGGTGAGGCGAGTAGGCTTTCAGCCCAATTAGGGTAGGTGCTTCCTTGGTGTCCCTGCTTTGCGCGGTGGACAGCTGTTTTCACTGAACTTGTGCATATCTTCTGAAACTTCTTTATTTTCTTCCTGCTTCTTGTGTGGTCTTTAAATGCAATGATTTCCTTTTCTCTTTTCCTTCTCTCCCTGTGCGTCCTGTCATCATTCTGCCTTTTCAGCTCTGTCCTCTCCTACCAGCAAAACATGAGCAGTGATGCTTATGAGGCTGAAGTTCATGAGAATTTGGTGCTATAACTGAGTTGCTTCTGTGGCTGGACTTCACAAGGCAGCTTTCTGTTTCTGTCTGCCTGATAGTGGGGAATGATGCAAGCTTTGTGTAGCCTGCTTTTGTTTTGCTGGTTTCTCCTTGACATCTGCTGCCCTGCTGTCTCTCTGGAACATCTTGATGTGTGACCTACAAGCCAGTGCATGTTTCTGAAAGCACCAGTCTAGTTTAACGAGACTCCAGTCTCTCCTGGGCAAAGAATCAGCATGCAACTCCGTGACCCTTCTTGCTTTACTTGAGAGTGGGAGGCATAGGGATGGATGGGAGGTAGTTCAGGAGGGGGAGAGAGGTAAGCTGTGGTTTGGGGTCTTGCAGTACCAGAGGGGCTTTTCCTTCTAGTTTGTTTGCTGGTTGCTACAGACTCCATGTGTTCCCTGTTGCTAAAATTATTTAAGGAAGCAGTGATTTTAGTCCATGGAACTAGTGATAACCTTTTTTCTGTCTTTTTAGGAAATGGTTTACAAACTGGACCTGAATCAAGTGGATTTCCATTTACGTATAATCACAGCCACATTTATGCAGGTAGTGGGAGAGGCAATGGACGAGGACCTGTAAATCCAGCACCAGCTAATAGTGTTCAGTCTTTTCCCCCTGCTGTCAGTAATGGGAGGGACCCACGCAGAGCCTTTAAAAGATGACTATGCCAAATGTGGTGATACAGCTTGCTTAAACTCTACACTCTACTTGAACACTTATTGCACTTTTATTTATAGTTAACTGTGAACCAATTTGTCCTTTGTTTTTTTTACCTTTCGGTCTATGGAGCAAACTTGATGTGAGCTATTTGTTTTGCATAGGGAAGCAAGTGAGTCTTCCCCATACATTAAGGGGGCAGGGGAAGAAGGTGGATATAAGAAAGGGTAACGGGTTGAAGAGTCTCAATTGAAACTTGGTACCCTTTGCTAAATGGAAGAAAATTTCAGTTACATGTATGTATTTTTCTGTTGGTCAGCCATATAGCCTTAAAAGGTCTGTTGTGTCCTGTGTGCACATACGTTGACTTCCGTTAGGGTTAATGGAAGCTCTTCATATTGGAAGAGAAATGAAGGGGAAGAGTAAAGATTCTGTAGTGAACTAGGTGTCCTTGGAATGAATATAGCTTGTAAATGCAATAAGTATAAGGAAATGGTGGTGCCAGCACCTAGTGGTGTCTCCTGAATCAGAAAATAACTTGGATGAAAGTTGAAGACATAGTGAGTGTCTTGAAGCTTGACTTCTGATTCCAAAAGGGTGTAAACTACTTTAAAATTCTCCATAAACACCATTATCACTGTCAAGGAATGTGACATTGATTTTTGCTTTGGATAGAAGCTTGGATATTCATTCTTGTTTTGCATGAAGTAAGTGAGGAGGATCTAAATTCGGACAGTATTGGGGAATATGCTGTTTGTAGCCACTCCTTGTGTAAAAGCCCAAGGTTACATTGCAGGAATCTGAATTTCCAGGAAAGAACTGTTTTCAAATGCTGCATTACCCATCTCTTCAATGAGGTTGCCTACTTATTCCTTCATTCACTTTTCCAAATGAATGATTAGATGAAGCTGGATGTGTGTATTGCAGAGGTACTGGTTAAGCACACAGCTGCACTTCTGATGCTATTAAGCTGATAAGCTTTCCTTTTCTGTTTTATATGAAATAAGAATTATCCCTTAAAGAACTTAACCCCACCACCACCACCATCTCCTGGGGCAAAATAGCTGTGGTTTTATTTCTGAGATCACAAATGTCTTGACTCTTATCTAGAGTCCAGTGCCATATTTCAGATCAGGTTAAAAAACAGCTTGGAAGCTGAGGTGTCATACTGGATTCATCTGTTTAACTCTTCTTATAGCTGACCTCTCAAATAAAAAAATTGCACTAACCATTTCAAAAACAAATCTAACTTTCTTTCTGTCAAGCCATAAAGACATCCTGACAAAAGGCTATTTCTGAATTGTGAGTTCTCTGTGGTCATTCATGTTAATTTAATCTACTACTGTGTCACTAATGTTTACAACTTATTTACGTTTTGTACTTCTGCTTTTGGTACTCCATGATGTTTTGTTGCAAGTTGCTTCTAACTGGCAAAAGTTCCTTGCTTAGCCTGAAATGCTGAACTGTCTTTTAAATGTAAACAGCAGCAACAGACTTCTGAAGGGAGGCTTACAGAGACCTGTATGCCCAGACATCTGAGGGCTGTTTGCCTCTGGTCTGGTAAAGTGCTGTCCTGATAGCTGCTTCCAGGTGGAACTAGCAAAACTTGACTTGGACACAAGAGGGTGACATGCCTCATGAGATAACCTGCGGGTGCTGTTATGGAAGAACCGTGCTAATTGGTGAACCAGAAAGCATGCAATGACTTCTGGGGAAATGGTGTAAGGGGGTGATCTGTAACTCAGGGACTTTTAAGTTGCTTACTTATTTAAATGAGTCATGTGTAGTCTAGATGCACAGACAACCTCTTATGCAGTGTTGCATTAAGACTTTTGATAGGCTTGTGAGAAGGAAGCCAAGAGGACTTCTAAATGTGTGAAGTATATATGACATGTTCCAGAGGTATATGAGATGCAAATATGGTGTGAGAGCCATGCTTTCCAGTAGTAGCTGTAAAGGTAGCAAGTGAACAGTGCAAGTGTTAGAATGGTGGGGACTTCATACTCATTGGGCTGTCTCCACCATGGATCTCAAATCCTGGTGTTCTTGCCTTCTGTACAGCATAAAGAAGGTTGAAATAGGGGGGAACCCTGTGTTAGTGTGTGCTGAGGTGCCTGATGTTTGTAGCTCTATGCATTTGAGCTTTTATTAAGCTAATAAACAGAACACTTGTTCACAAATTTCAAATAAAAATGAGATGATTACTGCTGATAAGTGGCATAAGATTAAAAGCTTGCTGTCAAGTGGATGATTGATTTGCAGTTGGGAGGAAAAAAGCAAGAGGCTGGTCTTCATGCTCTCAAGGTTAGTAGCATTCCTGACTGTTTCTTATGTGAAACTATTTCAGTTTATTAATAAATTTTTACTTCTTTGCAGGGGAAATCTGTGCCCTGAAAAGTCACATGGACTTAAAGTAAATATAATCACAGTAATTTTTCAAGGTCTTCTGATCTTCCAGTGAACCTAAGACAAAGTTGTTTTCTCAGAGGTATCAGTGCCAAGAATAGTGTGTTCTCAGCTTGCAGAGGAATCTGGGAGCCTGCCTTACATTTGTTTGGATCATACTACCTCAGTGTATGGAGAGACAGATACGCATTTATGTAAACAAGCAGTTGTCATTACGCTGACACTGTAAGGCAGTTCATAGGTGCCCAGTGGTTAGGTCACTATGGAGTCTTTACAGATGTCTTCCCAAGATATTAAAGGTAAGGCTGATGTTAGGGTAGTCTCATTCTAGATAACACAAAAAAAAACCTGGGAAGTGTTTGCGTGTCCAGACACAAACTGCGCAGTGCTGAAGTGTAGCCAAGTAGTCCCAATACACTTGAGTCACAAGACACCCAGCTGTCATTGCCCTACAACGGTTCACCTCTGCTTGCCTGCCCTACAATGACTCACCTCTGCTTGCCCACCGTAACAAAAGGACTGATGGTACACTGCAGCGATGTGGTAGTGGAGAGTTTTGCTGTATGTCTGCTGGAGTGCTCAATGTGTTTCTTCTGTCCATCCTCAGCGTGATTCTTTCACCTTGATTCCAAAAGTCAAAAAGCAGTCCCGTACTGTGAAATACTCTCCTAACCTTGGGATGTGTGGTAGAGTCGTGCATGCAATGTGCACAGTGAAAATGGGAAGGTGCTGTAAGAACAAACATAAATGCTGGACCAAGGCATATAACACATATAATTGCTTCCACAACTCATTTAATTAGCATTGGTCTTAACTTGAAACTGGCAGGTTGCAGTCCTGCGTGCTCCAATAATGCTGCTCTTTGGCATTACACAAGTTCCAGTAAGGGTATCTGCAGTTAGTGCTTCTGGTGCAAAGCTGCTATAGGTGGTATGAACCATTTCTACATCAGTGCAGATGACACCCTTAGCAGCATTGCAGGGATGTCAGCCATGTTAGTGTGTGCATATCTCTGGACATGGGAGCATTTAGTAGTCAAATGCTGTCCCCTGTAGCCTAATGGGGTCTTTTTCATAGACACTACTGCTTGTGTTTTGCTAGTGATCTGGCTGTGCTATGGTCATCCTCTGCAACCCATGTCCATACCCCAAAACAAAGGATTCTTTCCTGTTCTATAAGGCAGTTTTTGTCAGCAGCTCCCCAAGTGCTTTGTTAGGACTAGGAATTAGTAAAAACAATGGGGTTTTGAGTGTTTCTGGGGAAGTTTCCTGGGCTGCTTCATGGCCCATGTGTTCTCAGCTGCCAGGTTGTTTCCCTGCTTCTGTCAAATGCCTGTAGATTTGCCTGTTCAGATGTACTCTTTACTCTTAACCCTCGAACCAAGCAATTATTTGCACTGCAAACTGTGGTCTCTGGCAGTGCTTTTGAGGGGGATCCAGAGAGGTACCTTGCTTTCTCCCTGCAGCCCTTGCTAGAGGCTAGCTCCTGAGCTAGAGTTGGTTGATTCTGGGAGTTTCCCCTTAGTCTAGCACCAGTGCATGTTACTGAGGAGGTTACAGGGCTGTGACTTCTGTCCCCGGCTCTGTTAATGATTGCAGTAGAGCTGACGGCTGCTTTGTCTGAGCCTGATGCTCCCACCACCATGGGATGCAGCGGGGTGAGCCTGGCCCTCGCTGCTGGGGAGTGTGGGGAGGCCTGGCCGGCCTGGGCCTGGTGGTGTGGAGCACCCCCCAAGGGGGGGGTTCTCCAGCAACCCCAGGTCCTCCATGCCACAGGTGGAGTGTCATGGCGGTGCGGTGTGAGGCTGAGCCAGAGCTGTGCGTGGGTGCTGGAGGTGCTGGGCCCTGCGAAGGCCCCTGCTCTGGGCTGCTGCATTTACTTGGGCATGGGCAGGGCCTTGTGGCCCATACTAGGGCAGGAGCTCCAGGTGCTGTGAGGAGCTCAGGGGGGCTCCACCAGCCTCAGTGGCTTGGCTGGCACTTCAGCCACTGCTGGTGATGCTCAGTGTCCCCAGTGCCTGCTCTGTTTCATGAGGGAGGAGATGGTTGCTTAGGACCACAGAAATGCCCAGACCTTACAGGGCTGTGTGCTGGGCTGATTTAACAGCCTCTTTGCTGGCGTACTTTTATTTGCTTCTGCATAATTAGGAAGATCAGAGCTGGTTGAAGGGGGAAACCACTCATGGGGACATGGCTTCAATTAAAACAACAAAAAAAAAAGCCATTGTGTTCTCACTGGAAGACATGTACTAATCCAGGGGCAATTGCCTGAAAACTGAGATTGAATTTTTCGGCAAAGCCCCTCAGGAATTCATTCAGAGATGCACTTTCTGACTTCAGCCTTAATCATGCTACTAGTTCCTTTATTCTTGATTCCAGAGATTTTGAAATTGTTATGGCTTTTTATAGGGATTATGCTTTTTACTTTATTCTGTGATGGACATTTGTGTGTGTGTATATATATATATAAAATATGTATAAACATACAAAGCGTCTTGTAATTGGGATGGAAAAAATAATCCTAAACAAGCTGTTGACTAAACTACAGAGGATGGAGTTCAAAGGGATTAGAAAAAATGTTTGGAAGTGACTAAGTGGAA